GTCTTAGAATCTAGTCCAACACTACAACCAATAATATAATTAGACGTTATTTGCCGGAGGCAGTATTTATTATAGCCATATGACATTTATTAGCGGCAATGTTTATCAAAAAAAATGTCTTATTTCAGAGACGGTGCTCGTCTTTCTTTATAGTAAAATATGTATATGTATACAAAAATCAAAGCAACAAAATTGTCTATTATCATCAAAACTAATTAAAAATGATTATTCCTACCGACTTGATTCTTCCAGTAACAACTATTTTAATTACTTCTAGAATTTTAAGCTAATATATAAATAGATTTGAATAAGTAAATTGTTGTGTAAGTTGGAGATCATGTTTGGGACTTATTTCCTTGCCTTAAATTGAAGTAAACTTTTTATTTTCATAATAAAATGTTCGAGAAATTCAGATTCTAAAATTAAAGCCCACTGCATACTATGTGAATATTTTTCTATAAAGAAAAGAATATGTGAGAATAATTTCATCTAAAATCATAACAATAATTATGCATTGTAAACGTAAGTTCTTTTTTAAACATGAGTTTGTTGATTATGTAACAAAATGCAATAAATATATTTTAAATATTAATCAACATCAAAATTCCGAAAAAAGAAACTTTAAACATTATTAAAAAAAGTAATGAAAAACATACAAATATTACATTTTCTCGTTTGTATCATATAGGTTTAAAAAGAGAAAGTGCAATTATTCTTATAATTTAGCAACCAAAGAGTCTAAATAAATACTGAAAAAATTGAGGAAATTTAAAAGAAAAGAAATATCTTGAATGAGAGAACAAAAAGTTGAGCTGGTTTAACCACCAACTTCTTATAATTACTTAACTAGCTCAATTACCATTATAGTTTAGTGACCATGACAGAATTCCTAATAAAATTGTAGTTGAGACTTGAGTTCTTCATTGGATTGTGTGAAGGTTTAGTCATTTCTTATTCTAATATACTCTATCTAAACTTAAATACTAAGTAAAAATAAATAATGGTAACGGATTAAGAGTGGTTATTAATCTCTTATCTTTTATTTATAAAAGTGGTGGGAGACAAGCGAGCATATCCACTCCACTCGGTTTATATATGTTTTATAAAAATAAGATGAAATAAGTACGTCGGTTCTGGTTAGGTATGTTTCACAAAGATAAGATGGAATAAATAGGAAGACATATTTGAAAATACAGATTTAAAATATTAATTCGTTTCGAAAAAAAAGTCAGGGTGAAAAAAAATAGGGTGAAAAAAAATAGGCCTGTGAAAATTAAAATTATAAAATTTACGTAAAAACCTACATCCGCAAAATGCAGACTTAAACCTTTAATTCATCTCACATCAAAATACGGACATAAAAGTACATAAAAAATGCGGGTAAAACAATCTCTATCGGATCAGATCAATTTTATAGCCCCTGCTTCTACATGAACTAAAAGCATTTGCTCTTTATAAAATGGAGAAGCTAAATTTTAAATATTTGTAATTTTATAAGGATGTATTAAAGATTTTTCAGAACTAGATCTAAAAATAATCTATTATTATATAGGGACTATCCAAAAAAAAAAAGTGGCGGAATGGTTAATCACTTCTTTATTTGGGTAATTAAGGATTAGGTTAATTGAACCGAAGATAAGAAGAAGATGATAATCAGTAATCTCTATTCTCTATTCAAGTGAAGTTTTAAACATGTTGTATAGTATGATATGTATAATATAATATCTAGTAGATCGGACTTAGCACGATATTAGCATACTAAGTCTTTTTATAAAAAATTTAAGTTGAGTTTAATGAGAAGTTTTCAAGTGGATGCTAAGATATTTAGATGGTTGATCGAAGAGTGATTTGAAGTACACAAAGATTAGGGCGGTTTATAAAAGCGTTTAAGGGGGACTACCGCATAAGATCTCAAAATTTTTAAAATTAAATTTTAATTGAATAGAATCTCATAAAATAGAGTCTCTATTTGTTTTTTCAAATTAAATTATGACTAATCTACCTAAAACCTCCAAAAACTTATGAAAAACACTTCATGAAAAAAGATGCTTTTGAATGATATATAAATGCAGAGTGTAATGAAATTATATGGACACTAGAAAACATTGTGTTTTTGAGACAACTATTAGTTGAAAGTCTAGTCAAAGATTTATTGTGAAATTATCTACTTTTTCTATCTCAAAATAAAAGTTTAAGGTTGTTATACATAGATTAAAAAAAGTAATGATTGATTAATTAAATGTAACAATTTTATAAAATTGTTCTTAATTATTATTGATTGTCATAAAGATAAAGATAGAGTGCAATGTATTCTCTTGTCTCAAAATAAGAGTCTTTCTAGTAAAAGAAAATTGTCTCAAAATAAGAGTTTTTTTACGTTTTCAATGCAAGAATAATTTATTTTTACTAACTTTACCCCTAATAAATATTTTTTACATAACTTTTAAGATATTACACCACACTCTAAAATTAATAGTAATTAATAAGGGTAGCAAAACGGTTGGGCCTGCCCGTTTAACCCACCATTTTTTGCGGGACGGGGCGAGGTTTTCAGCTCAATGTTTTAAATTGGCTCATCCCGCCTACCCACTTTTTAAACGGGTCGAGGGCAGAGTGGATTTTGCCCACATGTTTTTTGTTTTAAAAAAAAGTTTTACTTGAAATCGGAAGAATATTAATATGGTATGTAGTAGACATACTTTTAAAACAATCATTATTTTTTCAAACTTTGATATTCATTTTTTACACAATCACAAACACCTCATTTTGAAGACATTAATTGATCTTTGTCTCGTTCTTTATTTTCACTCATAGTACAAAAAGTCTTTATTGCAAAACATAAAGAATATACATTTTTTCCTATTTTATATTACTCGTTGTCATTTGAGCCGAGTTCTAAAGGTATAAGATAAGTTTTTCATTATGATAATAAAATTTTGACTTTTGAGGGTTTAGTGTATTTGTTTAAAGTTTTTGGTATTATAGTTACGTTGTTTGTTTATGTTGAAAAATATGACATTTGCATTAAGATTTGTTAAAGTTTTAGTATTCATTGTTAAAGTTTGTAAGCCTCTTTATAATGCTTAACAATTTTGTAAATTATATAATAAATTAAATTGTAAAAAGAATGACGGGTTGGCGTATTGTAAACGGAGCGAATTTGACTTTTGAGTTCGAACACCTAAGTTGACCCACCCTATTCTGCTTTTGGACGGGTTTAAATGAGACGGACATAAATGAGACGGGCCGCCTGCTTTGCCACCCCTAATAATTAAAGAAAATTTTGTAAAATTGTTATATTTAATTAATCAATCATTATTTTCTTTAATCTATGTACAACAACTTTAAAGACTTTTATTTTAAAACGGAATAAATAATATCTTAAAAGTTGTGTAAAAAATATTTATTAGAGATAAAGTTGACAAAAATAAATTTTTGTTTCATTAAAAACGTAAAAAAAAAAACCTCTTATTTTATGACAATTTTTTAGCTTGAAAGACACTTATTTTAGAACGTACAACTCATGCGTATATTTCTCTTTAACGTGAAAGAAATAAATACATTGGAATAGAGTCCAATTCATTTAGTTAATCATTAAATGTCTCACGAGACAACAAAACATATCAACATATGTTTGCATTTAGTGAGAGACACGATTGAGCCGAATGAGACTGGTTGAAGAGGTTGCTTCAAAAGACATCTGACAAATGTGCTTACTAAATCATTACATAGGTCAATTTTGTTGAAGGATGTTTCAAGCTTAGAAAGAGAAGCAAAATGATTGATAACTAAATTGGTGTCATTATTATTTTCTGAAGCAAGGTGGAGATTTATGGAGTGTGTCTCAAGAAAATCAAGCATGAGCAAAACATTTTGGATTTGCCTTAGCTTGAGGCTAAACGCGAGGTGTCTAGTAAAAACGTGTTTTTGAAACATGAGGTGTTTAGCAAAAACATGAAGCATTTATCTCAGGACACCTATATCATATTTATAAACTTATAAATCCTTTTACCTCAGAACCTATGTCATATTTAAGGTTTTCTGCGATATTTTATTCTAGAGATAAGCTCAGATAAAGATATAAATTTTAGGGATTTCTACTTCTAAGGGTTAAGAAACACTTTGAGCTAGAGTGACTCAAGATATTAAATTTAAACTTTTTCTAGAAACACTTGTAAAATAATCATCAGTCTCAACAAAAATTTCTCACTTTCTCAATTTTAAAATAAAAGCTGACAATTGTAATTCTTGTTTGATTAATGATAAGAAATTTACCTGCAAAGTCTGATACAAATGGTCAATGCTCTCAAAACAACATAAAAGTACAACTGTACTAACCAACATGTTTATTACAATAACCAACATAACAAAATTTAAACTTTCTGTTTAACATCCTCTTAAAACAATAAATAACTTCAAATAGAAACATATAATATTGAATTTTAGAAAACCACCCACACGTTATTTATATGGTTGAGTAATGAAATTTGATCGAAGTTATGCGACAAAAACAACTCTAAGATGGTTATCGATTTCATTGCATTTTCTCATCACTATATAACAGATTAAAGAAACAAGTTGAAAGTTAGGTACAATTAATTGTGATAAATTTTGTAAAAAACAAAACCTTCAAACAACCAAAATTCAAAAGGGATAAACCAAAACCCCTCCGGTTTCTTTTTACAGAAATTAAATTCGATATAGATTAGTCTAAAAAATAAGTACTAGTATATGAACAAGAACAATAAATCTGCACCAGCTCTTACCCTGTAGCCATTCTCATTTTCTTTCTAAACAAATTTCAGGAGAAGCTCTCCAGAACACTCTGTTAGACATCTACCTCCAAATGCATCATGTTCGAGTTGTAGAGTCTGAAGATTCTTACTTAGCCTTTGATTCACCTACAGTTATGAAATGAAATCCATTTAGGTAGTGCAAGAAATACAATATATGTATTGTTATGGCATGCACTAGTACTACTCAACCTACCTAATTGAAATTCAGAAAGGGGCCTCAAGTGATTCTTCCCAGACATCTCCACTGGCATTAGACATGTCTTCCCCATCTTCTTCCACAGAAAGCCTAATATACTCCCTGTGTGCAAACCGGTCCCACTCTGTCATATTTGGATCCTCGCGTTCCTGGACAACAAAGTGCCCTCCTGGTCATTAGAATTCGCCAATAAAAAGTGTCTAAAAAACTTCATTGACAATGAAATATGATCTAAAACTTGATTCTACCTGACGTATAAGATATGGATCACGAGATTCAAACGCGATGAACTTGTTGAGATTGAAAAGAATGTTGAAAACATTTCCAGAAAGTTTGCTGCTTTTCACATCTCGTAATGTGATATATCCTTCATTCTGAAAAACTTGGGATGGTTACCACATGCTATACTAGAGAGCAATAAAAAATGAAACAACCAAAGAAGCAAGAATATGAATAAAGGAGAGACCTCGGGTCCAATCATATCAACAATCTGACATAAGATATCTTCGAAGAGCACCGGCTCTTGGGCCATGCATTCCATCCGGTGCAGCTGCTCCTCGTAAAAGAACAGCATTTCATTTGGTGTCAACACTCCATTTCCATCTAAATCGATGCATCTGAACCTACAACCATTTAGGGGGGAAAACTTTTACGATTCAATTAAATTTTAAGGCTGAGAAAGGGAAGGAAAAAAGTTTACTGAAAGTGAAACTTGACACTGGATCTACATTCAACTTAAAAATGTTCTTTAGAATAAAAAGGAAAATTAAAGAAAGAAATTGACCCATTGAAACTAGCCCTCCACAGGCTTTAGGCCAATTTTCACTGGTTTTGGAATTAACTGGTTATGTTTGCTAAAATAGACCATAGACCTAAACAGTACAGATAACCACCTAATCTAATCTGGTTTTGAAAGCAATGCTCTAACTATTCTGAAACATAGACTGAGTTAATTAGAAAGGGATAGCAGGCTTATGCAAGTCAGGTATTGATTTATAATTGATAATGCTGAGTCGTAAACAGCATGATGCCTGAATTAGAGATGATTTAAATAAATGACAGGGAATCAATCTTTACTCGACATGTTATTATCAAAAATATTATTATTATTGTTAGAATATACGAAAACATACAACATTTTATAATATTATCTCCTAGTAATTTTCAAAAAGTTCTTGATTTATAAATATAAACAACTTGATTACATTAATAAATAAATGTTATCGTCTGGGATTGAACCCTAGATCAGCAGTTTACACTCATTTAACTCATCTAGCACATATCAGTTGAGCGCTACCACACCCACCCCTAGTACTAGTTTCCATAAATAGGGGGTTAGTGTTTAGAGTATATCGCTAGTATTGAATCATTACCAATCATATTTTACTGAAATAACAATTCTTCTTATTCTTCTCCTTTTTCATCTAAGACCCCATTAACATCAACAAAAATTAAAACAAAAAACACGTATAATTGTATAACTCAAATGCTTATGAGAATAACTTGCTTTCATTTATTATTCAAGTTGTCAAATATCAGTCAAGACGTACGATTTTCTATGCTGTTAAAAGGATCTCCATTATTTGAGAAGGCTAGGGAGTATACCAGTATTCCAGACTAGGTTCAGATGACTTATCTTCCTCTGCAAGTATGAAATGAACAAAATCTTCGTAGTTCATCTTTCCTTCAACTTTACTACTAAATTTCCGCGGAACCTGTCTCAGTTAAAATATAAATAAGACAAAAAATTAAAATATGGAATTGTTTTGATTCATTGAAGAAACAATTATCATGCTCAGGACTCATTATTTAACAAGAACTTGAATTGATTTGCAAATCAAACTCCACATTTAGAATACCTTCAAAATGAACAGAACTTATTTTGTTCTATGTTGTTAATCTCGGATATCAGTGCAAAGTGCAGAGCTAAAAAACTGCTATAGTGGTATAGTGGGATAGCCACTATATGAAAATTCTAAAAGAATACATGAATACTCAAATAGAAAAATACATAAAATTTAAGGAGAATCATACTTAATAATATAAGTGATTTTGGTCATTTGTCACCAACATTAAAACACAACCCAAAGAACATAGAAACCCAAAGAGGGAAGATTAGTAACAATGGTCTTCCAACCCAGAAGAACCCAAGAGAGGGAAGAACAGAGAAGAAAATAACAGTGGTCTTGACAAGCAGGAGGAGAAATAGGAAAAGGGTTTCACACTTTACACATGCAGAAGAATGGAGCCACATGAAACAGGAGAAGAGCTTCGCAGATGCAAAAAAAGGTCACACAAAGTAGAGGGAGAATGAGAAGATCAGTTTGCTCGTGAAAGAAGAAAAAAGAAATAGATAACTTAAAATTAAATAACAATTATACCCTTAATAAAAATCCAGAACAATTAAAAATGGTAGGATTTGATGAATTTCTCGCCATGAACCGTAATCAAGACGTGAAGGAGCCTTTGGGATGCAAATGTGATGCGATTTCGTCGTGATTTGTGGTCGCCCAACCGCACCTGTTGATAGCACATTGCCGGCTGAATGCGTCGAAGTAAACAGCACTGCTGCACCGCTACTCCACAACCGCTCTCTATAGCAGCGCGAATGACAACATAGGTTTTGTTTGAGACATTTACTTTTTTTAACATAAGAATATGCAGCGTAGAAAAACCAATAAGGGAAAAGTTATCAACTTCAATAGTTAAACCAAAAATCAAATCATATCCAACCAAAATTTCAAAACAACCACAACATAAAGCAAAAGGCCTCGAATCAATTAATTTATATCTTAACTTTCCATCAGAGAATTTTATTTATAAATTAAATCAATTGCTAAAGCCTAAAAATATTTGTCCCAAACACATTGAATTTACAACTGTGCACTAACAAAGATGAAAAATACCAACAGACCTGAGAAAAAATTCTATCAACAATCCGATATGTAAGAGAATGGTTCCCATATTTAATAAGGTTTTCTCTGTCAATGAAAAAGTCGTGATCTGTGTCGAGCTCCCAAAATTTGCAGTAAACGACGTAGAAATGTTCATAGGAGAAGTACCTGAAATTTCACCAAAGAACTAATGTAGCAAACAGAAATAAGCAAAGAAAAATCAAACTCTAGAGACTACTAAATTGGGAATGAAAATCAATGGATTCACACATCTTTGGAATCTATCAAAGAACCACTTTATAGGTATATTATATAGCAAGTAAAGCTCATGAGAGCTTCCTGTGGGTGCACTGTATATTAGCCTAGCCCTGTAACTGACTGCAACTAACTGTTTCACAGTTAGAAGCAGCTGGTGTTAGGCTTGGGTGCCTTTCTCTCTATCTCTCTGCAATATTCCTCTCTCTCATCTTAATTATAATGTTTATTTAATTTATTTTCCTGTGGGTGCACTGTATATTAGCCTAGCCCTGTAACTGACTGCAACTAACTATTTCACAGTTAGAAGCAGCTGGTGTTAGGCTTGGGTGCCTTTAGGGCGCCTTTCTCTCTATCTCTCTGCAATATTCCTCTCTCATATCTTAATTATAATGTTTATTTAATTTATTTTCCATTTAAAACACCCAAAAAAGCACTAAAGGCCTTTCCCTCCCAAAAGTCACCCAATCCCAAGAAGCTGCAACAGCTATAACAAACTGACTGACATATGTCAGTCAGTCCTAGATCTAATTCAGTGTAATCATAATCAATTCAATAAATTTCACATTCACTCGTAGATTCCAAGAGAAATATGGTTAATATTCAACATTCTAATGTGGTCACAGTTGAGTCCCGTAACGATCTAGTGGCATCATCCAATAACTCCAATCCCGTGCTAACAAACACGCTTCTTACAGCGCCGCCACACGCACCGTCGCTGATTCTACCATCTTCATCTAACTCGTCATTTTCTGCCATTTTGAAAAGCTTGATGCTGAGAAGTATCTTCTATGGTGTCAGCAAGTCGAACCAGTCATCAAAGCTCATAAACTCTATCATTATCTCGTGAATCCAAATATTCCTCCCAAGTTTCCACCAGTTGGATATACTGAATTAAATCTAATTTCAGAAGAATGTGAAGTCTGGGAGCGGTAGGATCAACTTCTGCTTGCTTGTCAATGCCAAATTGTGTCAATTATGCTCTAAGATCAGAAACACGAGACTGGAAGGTTTCTCTGTCTCTGGGTTCCCACTAAAAATTGATTTTATCATTAGCTCTATTCATGCAATAGGTGAATCAATCTCACATCATGAGTATTTAGATGTAATACTTGAAGGACTCCCTCGAGATTTTGAGTCTACCATTTCCCTCATTAGTGGAAATTTTGATTGTATCTCCATAGAAGAAGTTGAAACTCTTCGTCTTGGACATGAAGCACATCTTGAAAGATTCGAGAAACTCCTTCTACCTTCAATTAGTCTTGTCTCAACTACTGTCCCTGCTTCTGATCACAGTAGTAAGCCTACTTCCACTGATTCTGATGATAATGACTCCAAGAAGTCCGCTGATTTTACTGGTGAAAGAGGTGGAAGATCGTATTGTGGTGGTCATGGTGGACAAAGTTCCATTCAGTGCCAAGTGTACCAAAAGTTTGGCCATGATGCTTCCATCCGTTTCCGTCATTTCAAAAGAGATTATATGCCTCCCACAGCCTTGACTCCTAATTCTCAAGGTAACTCTTATAATTCCTCCTGGCCTTCTGCTCCTACACAAGCTCTATCAACTAGAAGCTATCAAAACACTACCATGCCTTGGCAAATTAACTCAAGCCCTATACCCTGACCCTATAATGCTTGGCAATGCTTTGGTCCTATGCCTTGTGGCATGCCTCAGCCTCCTACATTTCCTATGCCAGCCTAACCTAATTTTCCCCAATTTCCTGTGATGCCATCCATACAAGGTGCATCATCCTATTTTCTCCCAACTTAGATCACAGGCCATGATGGTTAGTTCTGATTCTGCAAGTTCAATGAGTTGGTACCTGATTCAGGTGCACCACGCCATGTGATCTTTAATGCACAGATCATTCAGCAGTTGTCAAAATTTGAAGGACCAGATCAGATCATTATTGGCAATGGCCTAGGTTTGTCTGTCCTTTCAACTGGCTCTACAAAATTCAATTCTCCTTTAAACTCTAAATTTCAATTAGTCTTAAATAATCTATTGCATGTACCAAATATTACCAAGAACCTTCTAAGTATTAGTCTGTTTGCTATAGATAATCAAGTCTTTTTTTAATTCCATCCTAATGTTTGTTTTGTCAAATCCCAGGCTTCCAATGAGATGATTCTAAAAGGTTTGCTTAACAAGAATGGACTCTACAAGTTTCGTAGCATGATCAATCATTCTGCCTCTGCTGCTCTATCTCTTAATAATGTCTCTCTTAGGTCAACTCCTAGAGATCCCACTGTAAATACATCTACTGCACGTGCTATGTCTTTACAGTCTTCAATAATAAAAATGCAGAAGAGTTTTTTTCTTCTTGTTGTCTTTGGTAAATTTCATAGAAACTCAGTTTCCTTACAAATCAAAGGACATTCAAACTGATTAGGGTGGAGAATCTAGACCATTCACTCAGTTCTTAAGTCAACATGGTGCCGTCCATCACCTAACATGCCCTCATACTCATCACCAAAATGTAGTAGTTGAAAGAAAGCGTAGACAAGTAGTGGAATTGGGACTCACTTTACCTGTTCAGGCTGCTATGCCACTATCATATCGGGATTATGCTTTCCTAACAAGTGTCTATCTCATCAATAGACTTCCCAATTCCCACAACTACTCTTAATCAAGATGTTCCCTACGCCAAATTATTTCAAAAACCACCTGACTACTCTTTCCTCAAGGTTTTTGGTTGCTCTTATTTTCCTTTACTTAAGACCTTACAACAGCAACAAACTCTAATTCAGGTTTCAAGAATGCTTATTCCTTGGCTACTCTACATCTCACAGAGGCCACAAATGCCTCTCCCCAACTGGCAGGTTATATATTTCCAAGGATGTAATCTCAAAGAGAACGGATATCCCTATCTCAAACTCTTACCATCTTCTACTGTTTCAGGCCCTTCTTCCAATCCTATATCAGGGTCCATTCCCATTGCATCATCACTGCCTATTCAATCCACTCTAACACCTTCAATATTGCCCTCAACAACACCCAACACCTCAACTACCTCTCCATCTTTGACCTCACCTGTTAATACTCAATTTTCACCACAACACTCTCCTAACACACGATCATCTCCCTCTTTAACCCTTCAACCTTACCATCTCCAATTGCTCAACTAACTCCTACTATCCCATATCCTAACAAAACATCCTAAACCTATTCCACCTGATATAAATCCAATGCAAAATAGAGCCAGGTCAGGAATCATAGTGTTCAAAATAAATCTCACCATGCTTCTCGCACATGCTAAACCAGAAACCACTAGACAAGTACTCTCAAGTCCAACTTGGCTGGCTGCTATGCAAAATGAGTATGATGCTCTCGTAGGGATCAAAGAAAATCCTGATGGTTTCAGTCAACAAATATAAAGCCAGGCTGGTGGCAAAAGGTTGTAACCTTATATTGTATTACAGTATTTTTGGCTATTCTTGGGGGATCTGCTTGTTAAGGAGGTTTTAAGAAAGTTTTTAACCTTTTTGAATTAAGGGCAGTAATTTGAGTGGTGGATACCGGGAGGGCAGACCAGTCAGCAAGTAGAATGATTATTTTTTTCAGTTCAAGAATCTTCCATCAGTTTCCTTAATAGAGTTTCAAGGACTACTACGATGCCATGCTAAAGTAAAGAAGAAAACAGTCAACTTTTCAGACATTTTAAGCTAAAGCCTTTACCTCAGAACTTTATTAATATCCTCTTCTTCATCTACGTGCAGCATGGCATCAATTAGGTTCCCACGTTTCAACTCCCTGAGAGTAAGTCGGCCATTTCCAGATCTATTCATGTAGTAAAATATTCTATATATGACAGTCTCGGCTGTTTCAACAACAATAACAACAAAGTGAGAAATACCTGAAGAACTTGTTTGAAAGCATAAAATAAGTGTGATTTAAAAAAATTTTAAATAAAAAATAAATCAATAAATAAATAAAAGATAGATTATGATAATCTTATCACAGTCAGCATTCTAACATGGGTCCTGATCCTCTCAATTTGGAAAGGAAATAGACATCTCAATTCCAAAGCATATGTGTAAATGACACGTAGAAAAAAAGGAATCAACGGATGAAATTTTACTTGTTTTATTTAAATCAAATTAAGTTTAAACAACATAGAATGGCGAATAAGATTATTGATCTTCATTTCTACTTAGGTCTGAATTCTGATATTACGCCACTGTGCCTCCCTGATGTTTTCTCAGTCTGTGTTGCTGCGAGCTGCAAAAGACGAACTCTTCTTAAATCTCCACTTTTTTGGTAAAAGGAGCTCCTCTTAAATCTCCATGATTCTTTTGGCTATTGCCCAACAACAGCTTCAAAAACAATGTACTTTCTTCTTTTCAAGCCAACGTTATTTTAAACTGAAACCAAACAACACCGTACACTGAGTGTAGAACCACAGCACATCGAGTGAATTTGCTTGTTTTCACTTTGTTAGCTCGTCTTCTTCCACTATTCTCCGTCCAGATTCAGAACTGGAACATCGATTACATCCCTCAAAACAATAAGCAAATATCATGGACTCTTGCAAGAATGCAGTCTCTTTGCCAGATTTATCGCTCTCAACTAAATCTCATCATCATATTGATCCTACGACGGATGTGTGTATTTAAGTTTACTGGGCTCATACGTACGTGTATTATCCCTTTTAACTAGTGATTAAAAATCCAAGTGTATAATTTTTAAAAATAAAAAACCTATGTTAGTCATATTCTTTATTAATTAATATTACATGACATGACCTTGGTTTTTTACTGCATGTGAGATATATATATATATATATATATATATATATATATATATATATATATATATATATATATATATATATATATATATATATATATATATATATATATATGGGTGAATGGGGAGCAGGTTGAGATAGGCAAGAAAGAATGGGAAACCGAAACGGACTTGCTCGCGAAAAGTATTCCTTTTAAATTTTTTGATTATGTTCAATTTTAAATCTCACCCGGTGAATATTTTAACCACATGTCACTTAGATATGAAGAGGACTGAAGATGCCAATTTCCTATCCAAATGGAGAGTATCGGGACCCTTCTAGCATGCCCACCCCAAAAAGAAAAGAGTAGAGGAAAAGAAAACCCTAGAGTAAATCATGTCTTAATTGGAAAATCTCATGGTCAAACATTCCATTAAAAGCTAGCACCGTGCCAATAGCATTTCAACCAGGCTATTAGAATTGGATGCCCTCCAAAAATATTGGGCAAGGCTGGTGACTAAAAGATCTGTTTATTTTCAGGATCAAATTGTAAAAAGTAGAGACTTAAAACAAAAGAAAATATTAATCTAAATAATATGGTCATGCATACCATATCGCTCCTGAAATTCAGGTGTGCTTTGCAAAAACTCCAATCCAGGATGAGAGGACAATAGTTCCCTCAAGATAGGTTTGAAATCATCCTACATCCAAAATAGAAAACATACACATTTCAAATTATAATCCTATTACATACAGCATTTTAGTAAGCCCTTAATAATTAAGGTTGAGACTGAGTGAAACAGCAAAATACTTTGGGAGTAAGTGCAAGACAGCTTATAAAACAAAGCAAACCTGTACAAGGTATGCTTGATGTGGCTGCTTCAGTAAGGTGTATATTTGTGTCGGTAAATCCTTAGCTAACATGTTGCCTCGAATCCAATAGTCAATAAATTGATCCCTAAAACATGTGATATGGAAAGGGCATCAGTCCAACAAGACCAAATGTGTACGTAAATAACTTCATAGTAAATTATCATATCTAATCTGTTAATCTTCCAGTTCTCTACAAAAGCCACATAAATACGTTTTGCACATACAAATAATAATTATAATAAAAAAATGAAGTGGGATGTAAAACGAACAACGACTGGTGCTGCTTTCCTGCTTGCTGTCAGCGGAGACACACAAGTAAAGCAACATTTATAAGTTGTTTCTCATATATCCATCTATTACAGTACTGGATGGATTAATTGCTACCTCTGCCCTTTTATACAAAACTCTTCTTAGAAGTTCGTTTATTTTGTTGTCTCCATTTATAAGCCCCCCTTCAATTTCTCTCTTGCATTAATTTTTTAATACTAAAATACTATTAATTACTTTATCACCTCTATCTTGTGAGGATTGGGGGAAATGCAGTGAGATGTGTACCATTATGTATCAATTAGATGGAAAGAATGAGAGGATACAAGTCCCAATAACCTTAAGGGTAATTATGGAAAAGTATTATAAATTGTAACATTTAATATGGATAGCTAAATTAACCAACGTTCTTAATTATTGTGAATAAGTTAAAGGGGTCTTATATACAGTGAGTCAGTGACAAAGGTAGTAAATAATAACCAATAAAAACAATTCTAAATCGCCACCTTAAAATATTTAAATCACCAACTAGGGTGGTATTTCCCCTGGGTTAGTATTACCATCCAGCATAAATGATACCATTAGACTATAAGTGATGTTGATCTAAGATTAAGATCCTTCTAATTCCTTCAAGTAATGTTTAAAAAACTGAACCAGATGGTTTGATTGAACTGGCACTTTCTACTGTTCGGTTATTTGAACAATATGATTGTGGTTTCGTCCTAGTTCAAGTCGTTTAAAGCAGTTGAACCATCACTCAGGGATCTTGCGGTTCAATGTCTGATTCAGTTTGTAAAACATTGCTTCAAAGGAAAGGATGAAATATTAGAAAATTAAAGTACATTAAACAATCATAAACCCTGTCGAACAAACACTTTTGAACTGCGTATTTTATCTGGAAAAAACTGGCAGCCATATTTTCCTTATTCTTTGTATACCAAATATAAAAGAAACAGCATGTATATAAAAAATAAAAAATAAAAAGAGCTAAATCTAATAGAAATTCAAAAAGCTTCATGTGAAGCAATGATCTATTATGATGGAATAGTCCAATAAGAGATTTGGTACCTTGTTATGGTTCCTGTAAAATTGACATCAATCTTTTTGAAAAGAATGGTGGAGAAAAACGAGGGAATTTTGCATATCTCTTTCGTAAAAGACTTGAATTCTGAAATAAGAATACAAAGATATTAAAAACAAATAAAAATACTAGTATCTCTCCATAATGATGTCACAACTGAGCATATAGAACCAATAAGCTCACAAATATCATGTTCTTACCAAGTAATTGCAAACCATCCATATGACTGTAAAATCGATTATCAACTTGAAACATGAAATGGTCTTTCATTTCATTTGGAGGTGGACGGCCATTTTTGAAGTAGAACTGCAAACATTCAAAGTAATGTTAATAAATTGTAATACAAGGAGCTAAATCATTCAATACATAACCAATATAAAGTATGAGGAAAAAGAACAAATAATTAATTAAGAAAATGACAAATACCTGAGGAATGATTTCCCTAACAGATTCACGGACTACTTTTAGTGGAGAACCTAATGAAGAAGGGCTAGTTCTCTGCTTCGTGGTCCGTGGCGAACCAGATGAACTGCGTGGTGAAAGTGGCGGTGTACTCCCAGCAGGAAATAAGGAAGGTAATGGGTTGATTGAAAGAGCATTTGTACTTGTTGAGCTCTCGGGTGCACTAAAGGGAACTCCAGCTTTTGCGTCAGCAAGCAATGACTTAATCTGTGTTGAGAATACATCAACGAAAAATTGAACTTGAAAGAAATATACGTAAATTAAGCTAGACAGATTAAACAAACAAGCAACCAACAAAGAAATGGCAATACTTTTGTTGAGGGCATATTTAGTCCTAGCAACAGCATAATTTAGGAACTCAACAGCCTTGCTAATTAATTTACACTACTCATGAGCTAGTTTTTTAACTATTATACAATGATTTAAGGTTTTACAAATAATCAGGAAATTTCTGCACCTCATTTATATTGTTCTTGATATATGTTAGTTTTACGACTAGTTTATGTATTTCTGCAGTGCAGCTTTAGTTGTGTAATTTCATATGGCAGCCTATAGTGCTGCTACTTGCATTGTAAAGTGGAATTATATGTGAAAATCACTTAGAAAAATATGTATAATTACAACCCACTTTACATTACAGCCAACTTGTGTTTAAAGTGCCTAGTTGCGCATGAACCAGCTGCTTGCACATTTCTGCCATTCATGTCAAACTCATTCTCTATTTGTTCGCCTTCACTGCCATCTCATGTCAAAATCATTTTCTACTCACACATCACCGCCATCTCCAATTTACAGGTCATATATAGTGGAGAACCCGTCTCCAGCAGGCTACAGTTGACTTGGCCTCCGTCTACTTCTTTGTTTTCTCTTCACACTTTTCTGTTCTGTGTTCCCCGTCTCCTATTCTGTTATGTCACTCTCTATCCTTCTATCTATTTTGTCCACTTCATCCTTCTTTGTTCTGAACTTTTGTTTTATTACTCTATTAGATAGAGACTATACTCTTTGTTCAGTGGCCCTCCTCTCTAAACCTCTTTATTCCTCTCCCTCCATTATTATCCACTTGACGAAACCCACCATTCTATTCGTTGTCAACTTGTCAGTAGTTTGAATAATGGCAAGTTCATCTCACTATTCCGCAATTATTTACTCCACAGTATTAACAGAATTTCAACATTTTAAGTTTTTTCCTAATCTAACATAAAAGCATCCAATACAAAAGAAAGCTACTCTAAAGGAATGGAAGAAAGACCCAGTCGACAAACACCAGATAAATACAAGCCAAATTTTGGTTAGGATCGTGTGTAGCTGAGTTGATCCATATAATAGAAATGATAATTTACCAACATATTAAAACTTAAACTGTCTCATATTAAACATCTACAGTCACATTTTAGTCCAATTTTGCTAACTAACACCCCAATCAAAAAATAGAAAAAGACTTTCAGTTTTGACAAAAGTAAATCAAATATATTCCACAACTCTTTTTGCACCATTTCCATTAATCAAATAAATAACCAAAAGCACCCATTCGTAAAAAAGAACTATAACTAACACAGTTCAATTCAACAACATATTTATGTACCAGGCGACAAGTATCTGGAAGTGAAAGCCACTGCGAGTATAGCTCCTCAGCAACATAGAGATTCGATTTCAGTGCAAGAGGAGACACCTCTTGAAGCTGCAACATATCTGGGTCTAAATCCACCAACCTCCCAGTTTCCTCCACGTCCATCGCAAAACAATTTTATCTATCATGCAATACTAACCCTAATTCAACCGCCTAAAACCCTAAACCACACTTCTTCAACGATCACTTCGATTTTCCCCCTTCTTATTCTACCACTAGGTTAGCAAAACCTAGTTACCGAGTTAGCAACTGAAATGGCCGTTTCACCTCGTTTTATTCGAGTACTTGATGAAGAAAACAAACACAAACCAGAATTGGAAATTCAGCGGAATTTGAAACCATGGAGAGGAAGATTAACGGGTTTTTATGAGAACCTGAGAGGGGGGATTCTCAAGGGAAGAGAAAATTGGAGTGTGAGGTGAAATAGATGAGAAAAAAATGAAAAGTGAAAATAAGAGAAAATGGAAACCCTCGTTTGGTTTGGAGGTTTGAAAAAGATGAGAAATGAGAAAGAGGGAATGGAAATGGCAGTGATGAAAGAGAAACCAGTGGAACAGTAATGTGAGAGAGAGAGAGAGAGAGAGAGAGAGAGAGAGAGAGAGAGTTGTATTTATCTGTTTTGTGTGTGAGCACTGTACGCGCACCGTACCAACTGAAACTGGCGAGAGAGTGTGAATAAGCGAATGGTTAATTGCAAATTTGCAATTAACAAATGCTTTTTTTCTTCACTTCGTGGACTAATTTTGAATATTTTCGGGTGGGAAAAATTGGAAATAAGTAGTTTTTTAGGTTTGATTTTGTGTTTATTTAAACTAAAAAATGATAAACCATATAATGATTTGTAAAATGTATATTAAAATTAAAATTTTAAGCTTTCTTTTTTATTTTGTAGAAGAGATGTTCGATTAATAACTTTATTGTCGATATATATATATATATATATATATATATATATATATATATATATATATATATATATATATATATATATATATATATATATATATATATATATATATATATATATATATATATATATATATATATATATATATATATATATATATATATATATATATATATATATATATATATATATATATATATATATATATATATATATATATATATATATATATATATATATATATATATATATATATAATCCTTTCATTTGATAAATCAAAAATTCAATACTATAATTGTTGTGATATAATCCAATTTTAAGTTCAAAAGATGTTGGTACAAGAAGGACATGGGAGTGACAAAAGGCAAGAACGATGAATGAGCAAACCTTGCACATTAAAATTTAGATGATTATGATGGTATGATGTTTATGACTGCAGTTGCAAATAAGCATGTTAACTCTAAGTCCTGGTTCCTTAACACAGGCTGCTCGAATCATATGATTGGTCGAAAAGTGTGGTTAGCAAATTTCGACGAGTTGAAGAAGAGAAAGGTCAAGCTTGCAGATAATAGCTCATTGCAAGCAGAAGATACTTGCAACGTAATTATTCAAATGAGTAATATAGCAAAAGTTATTATCAAAGATGTACGCTATATATCTATAATGAAGTGCAATCTTCTAAATGTTTAACAACTATTTGAAAAAGGTTTCTTAGTGGTTATGAAAGATGGAGTCTTTAAATTGTTCGACACTCATAATAACTTGGTCTTAAAATCTCTTTTGTCGAAGAACAAAACATTTAAGATCATGATCAGTTTGACTGAGATACAATTCCTAAGAACAATTGTCCTTTAGGTTGTGATGCTTATATAGAGTAAGAATTGGGATGTACGCACTGATACTTGAATGACTTGGGCTTGAGTCCCAAAAGCGGTGGATCTCATGGTGGGTGAAAATCTCATATGGGTAAAAGTCTTGAAATGGGTTAAGAATCTCATAAGAAATGACTATTCTTAAGGTGGATGTTATCCCTTTGAATCTGAAATTCATGTGTATGTCAAAGTGTGACACAAGGATCTGTAACCTGTGTCGAGAATCCTAGATGTAGGGTTGGTCAGGGAAAAATACCTTAATGTGGTTTCTGATTAGTGATAGTTTGAGTTGATGAACTCAAGCAACATGTTTCCATGCATTGCAAGTTTTGTGAACTCAAGTCTTTTGAGTTAGGATGATGATTAGAACCTTGTAGAGTCGAGGAGACCCATAAGGTAGGGAACCCACTGGGATTATCATCTCACCCCTTATTTCTTTATTATTTTTCGGGTAGTTCTAATCAGGAGAAGGGTAAGGATAAGATAGTGTGATGTCTTTACTTCTTTTGTTGTTTTGGATGACTTGTCCGTTGTACAAATATTTTTGAGATCATTCCTCAATGATCTAGTTCCTACCTTTATTTTTGGGCACCCTTGTATATATTTATATTATTCCATGGTTGTAGTTTTTTTTTGGCATGTAATATGTACAATGTTGCCGCTAGGCGCTTATGCATTTCAGTATTTACATTATAGCTATGTATAATATGTATTTCAGTACCTACATTACAACTATGTATAATATGTATTTCTAGACATGTATTATATGTGGGTTTTACAATATATTTGTATCAATTCAACAAATTTATGAGGTTTAAAGAGTGAAGAAAGAAAACCTCATAGATACCACCCTTTAGTTATAGTGTATTCTAAGAGTATAATATGTATAATATGTATTTTAGTGCCTACATTACAATTATGTATAATATGTATTTTTAGACATGTATTGTATATGGGTGTTACAAAATATTTGTATCAATTCAAAAATTTTATGAGGTTTAAAGAGTGAAAAAAGAAAACCTCATACGCACCACCATTTAGCTATGGTGTATTATAAGAGTACGAAATAAAAGAAAAAAGCATTTAAAAAATAAAAATAAAATAAATAACAATATTTAAACTTTTGAACAATTTAATGAATTACTTTTAAAAGCGGGTACAAACTTAAAAGTTAATTTTCAATTAAATTTGAGGGCTTTTGTTTTAGATTCTTTAAAAAAAATAATATTTTAAGTGTGTTTTTTTATAAGTCTTTCTCAAAATTACTATATTGAAATAAATTGTTTGTTGAAAATAAATACTCCCTTTATCGCAAAATAATTGTCACGTCATATAAAATTATTTGTCTCAAAATAAGTGTCGTTTTTAATTTCTTTTGCAGTTCTAATGTTTGTCTTCCAATTATACCCTCTAACTAATGCTCTTAATTTATTATTCTCCCACTCTGCATTCATGATAATTCAAATGCACCAATAGTAAACAAGAATATTTTGGTAAAAATATATTATCTTTATTTCATGTATTACATTTTCTTAATGTGTGTGAAATGACCAACTATGACAATTATTTTGGGACAGGGGTAACTATTTAGATTAGTTTTGATGAAAATCATTTTCAATAGAAAAGAAAGAATATTTATACTTTTAATAAAAAAAAATATGTTTATTACTCTTTTTCGTCTCGTATCCTATACATGAAGTTCATTTTAGTTTCATAACTTTAAAAAGGACCATTTGAGTCCTTTAACTCTACACTCTGAATCACGTTAGTCATTTTTGTCAATTATGTTAGTCAAAGTCAATCAATAAGACTATGGCAATGATGTAGAATGTCGTATAACTAAAACCAACTTTTGTGACCAATTTAGTGACACAAAAATAGGTAGCTAAAATTATTTTTTGGGTTTTGATGAATTCTTCACCTTCGTCAAATTCTTTTTTTAATCTTCTAGGTGTAGGCTCTCTTAGTTGATTCATTCACCTTCCTCGCTCTCAATCCATTCAAATCCCATAAACCACATTTCTTATATATGTGACATTAACCACTATAACATAAACCTATTAATCTACATGTGAAGTCTCAAAAAACTATGGTGGAAGTATTACCATTTCTTTTTAGGTAAAATATGAATGAATTTGTTCATTCATCGTGGAGGTTCATTTGTAGATGATGATTTGTCTAATTATGAAGGAATTATTTCAGAGTTGAGATGTGATATAGATAAGAGGAGTTATTTTGAGGTAATATGGATAATTAAATATATGGGGTATAAGGAAGTTAAAACTATATTATACAAGGACCCCACATTTGGTATGATTACTTTGAGTGATGACAATGGTGCCCAAGATATAGCTAATTTATGCAAGATACATATGAGTGTTCATATTTATGTACCACATCCACTTTCTCAATCAGAGTATTATGATGTTCTTGTAGAGGATGAAACTATAAACCCAGATAATGTGAGTATCCTTTATAGAGAAAATGAAATTGGAAAACCATGTGAAGAAGTTGTCAAAGGTACAATAGATGATGTAATTGAGTTGAATGATGTTAGAGTCGATGAGGTTGGGATGAACGATGATGATTTAAATTAGGGTGTAGTTGTGAGGAATGAAGTTGGAGTCTTTAACACCCCATTTAAATTATTTAATTCATATAGTACTATGTTGTTATTATTTATGTTTTATGATTGTGTGAGAGGGAAAACCTTTAAGTGTAAGGTAGTTTCCTTGGATTAATTGAGTTTCATAGGGTTGTGATTTAATTAAGTGTAGAGTTATATAATTAAAGTGTTAGATTGTGAGAAGTGGAGGTGTGAAAGCAAATGTTGAGAGACATAAGGGTGTAAGAGAAGAGGAGAAATTAATAGTAATAACTATAATATAATTTTATAAGATATAATAATAATAAAATTTAAAATTATTTGTATTAAAGAATATTATATTATATTTGTAGCTATAATAATAGATATAGTAATTATTTTATTTTTTTGTTATCAAATAATAATAATAGATTTAGTTGGGAGGTTATAAAAAAAAGAATAGATAGAAGAGATAAGAGATTTTTCAGTTACGTGAAAAAGAAAGGAGAAAGAGAAGAACCAAGAGAAGAGAGAGTTAGGGCAAATGAGTCTTGCAAGAGAATCACCATTGCTGCAAAAGCTAAGAAAAATCAAAGGTAATGGGGGGAATTTCTATTCTAACAAGGGTAATTTTAACACGAGAGGGTAATGAGGGTCTTTCTATCTTAAGTTTTGTGAATTGCATGATTTTGGATTGAATCAATACTTGTTTGTGTAAAATTGAACTTGTTGATGTTTGATT